TGACAGTTGACAATATACTCCCTGCACTGTACTATCAGACTTGATCTTTGTGTTCAACTCCTGGAGTGGGATACAAACCCACAACTTTGATTTAAAAGAGTGCTACTGATTCATGACTGAGTGCATGTTTTATTTATGAGTCAATTCCAATTTAAGATTAAGAGCATTATCAAGTTCCTTTAACAGAGCTTTGGTGGAAAAATAAGAGTAGAAATTTTGACTCCATTGTCAGATTAATCTGTCTAAATGTTGTTTATATGCTATAATCTAATTAGAAAAGCATATTCTGCATCTTTGTTAGAACAAATGGGTCTAGATTTGAGCCCCCTTTACTGAAATACTACAAGTATCACGTGCACTGACATCACTCCAAGAAAGATGCCAAGTCTGGGAGTTAAAAGGTTTGTATGTTAAAGCACAAATCACTCATTTTCCTATTTTCTTGTAATCAGCCCTATGACTTGATGAACTTTGATGGCAAGAAGCAAGGTTGTTTTTGGTGAGGATAAAAGCAATGGGCTGGACTCTGCAAACTCAAACAGTAACACTGATGGTACTCAATATAAACAGGGGCAGTATAAAATCTGCATACAATGTCCTCAAATTGCCCGGAAAAAATTTATTCACATGAGCAACTGGTCAGAGAATGGCTTTCTCCTTAAATAGAATGGAGACAATGCTTAAGTCCTGCTCCTCCAATCACATTGTGCTTCTCTCCTGTGCTTACAACAGATAGGGTGACTAGTGAAAACAAGATAAATGGTTGAAGGATCAGTTTGCAGGGGACGTAATTTGTGTTTCACTCATTTCACTCCAAGGTAAGATAAGTTCTGATTTTACGATCTCAAACACTTGTATTAGATTCCAAATCAGAGAAAAATGAAGGTACATGTCCACTCAGCTGAATCCTTTTGAGGTTTAATGGCAATTACATTGATACTTAGCCATTGAGACAAGAGATGTCAATGAAACATTGACAGCAAAATCATACTGCCTTAGGTTTAGCTGCAGCAGTGAGATGATCTTCAAGTCAGACATCTGAATGAAAAGAGGGCTTTTGGTCTTCCTTACCCAAGACAAACACTGAAGTTCCACTTGTGGCCATCCTTACAAAGCACAAGGATTGGAAGCAATGACACAATCATTTCATCAGGAATACTTTCTGCTTAGGGAACTACAGCACATTTCAGAGAAGCTTGCTGATCTATTTTAAGGCTACACCTCCCACATATTATATTTAATATTGCTTAGAAGATTTAAGTTTTGAAAGATTGTGGAAAATGGATTTATTTCAAGTTTTGAGAAAACATTTGGAATAGCTTTTTTTTTTTAAGAAAGTAGTAATTGAAAGCTCATTGTGGACTTAAGATTTTTATTTTTAAAAGACTCCCTGTAAATCACATGACATTGATGATTGCTTGCTTTTCAGTAGACCTCTGCTGTGACTGTTTTTGAACAGTGTCTGGTTTGAAGAGGCTCTTATTTTCTGATTCAATTAGAGGTGAGTCTGCTAAGAACAAGCTAAGTTACAGGGAAGCCTAAGGACAAACCAAGTTGGAGGAAAACATGCTGAGAACAAGTTGAGTTTGAGGAACCTTTGCTAAATAGATGCTGATTTGGGACAAAGTTTGTTAAAATAGGATACACTGGGATTTTTTTTCCCACTGGAGTGTAGGAGGTTGAGAGATGACCTGTTAGAAGTTTATAAAATAATGAGAGCCATAGATGTCTTTTCCCCAGGATGGGGGATTTCAAGACTAGGGGGCACATTTTTAAGGTGAGAGGAGAGAGATTGAAAAAAGACATGAGGCAATTTTTTTTTTAACAGAAGGTGGTTCATATGTGAAATGAAGTTCCTTAGGAAGTGATGGATGCTGGTACAGTTACAATATTTAAAAGACATTTGGATAGATACATGAACAGGAAAGGTTTGGAGGGATATGGGCCAGGAGCAGGCAGGTGGGACTAGTTTGTTCAGCATGGACTGGTTGGACTGAAGGGTCTATTTCCATGCTGTATGGCTCTATGACTCTATAAAGAACAAGCTGTCCCAATAATATGTCTCATTTTCAAGAAGTAAACATTGTTGTTGAGTTCAGAGTGAACCCTATTTGTTCTTTCGAAAGATTGAAAGAACATCACAATGTATTTCCTGAGCAAACAGCGTCTGTGAGACTTCAGATACAACTGTGCATGATGAGTGACTTGACTACACATCAGAACATTGGAGCATCAGACTATGGTACATCCTATGCTTCTATCCTTTTGCCTTCGAGAATATTCTTTTTAAGCCAATCTCTACAAAGAAATCTGTTTTCTTTTCATGAAGAGGCACATGTCTGTATTTTGAGGATATTTGAAGGGATAAGCATTTATATTTCTTTATTACTGACTGTGTACATTAGGATGTATTACACCTTGGTTGACTAAGTTTTACTTTGAATATATAATACTTTCCTAGTTAGGGAGTTTAGAACCAGAGCAGGGGGTCGAGAGGCAACCTGTTACAAGTTTATAAAATAATGAGAGGTATAGATAGAGTTAATGTCTTTTCCCTAGGATGGGGGATTTCAAGATTAGGGGGCACATTCTCAGGGGATTTAGATTTAGATTTCTTTAATATTGTCACTTGTACATTGGTACAGTGAATGGGTTAGACATGAGCTGAGGAAAAAAGAGTTCTTCATTCAAGGGGTAGTAAACCTCTAGAATTCTCTACTTTTAGAAGGCTGTGGAGGCCAAGTCACTGAATATATTCAAGAAGGATATACATACATTTTTAGATTCTGAAGGCATCAAGAGGTCTGGGGAGAAAGTGGGAAATAGCATCGAGACAAAGGATCCACCAAGATCATTATGTCTGCTCCACCATTCATCATGGGCTGAAATGGCCTACTCCTCATAGAGCATAGAAACACACAAAATGTGTCTAAACCAATAACTTTGTTTATTAAGAATCCTAGTTGATAGATTTACATCAGGTTTAAACAAGTTATTTAAGTGGTCATCTTGGCAACTAAAAAACATATTTTTGTTTAAGTTCGTGACCCCCATATAGTAGTGGGATTAGAGTGACAGTGCACTCTTTCAGCCCCAGTTATAACAGAAAGGAAATTAGGGAGGCTGGTCCTTAACAGTCCTAACTCTGATCTGCAATTGCAGCTGAGGCAGGTGAGCTCTCCAAATGTTAAGATGAAAGATAAATCTAACCTACGTAATACACCTCAGATCGATAAATCTGAGTAACTTCACTCTTTCAGTACCTCATATTTATAGCTTACTGCCCTTCTGAACCATGTCTCAACTACTCCTCACAAGTAGTTGCTCCTCACATACTCACCTACTCACCTTGAGAAAGGCAGAAGGAGGAGGAACATGTTGGAATACCAGTCTGAGGCCATTTGTTCAAAATTTTCCCTTCACCCATCATCCAACACTTCCATTACAATCATTCACCTCAGCCTGTCTTATTTCCTCATGGAACAAGACAGCACTTAACTTAGAGGCAGAGTTTAATGGTTGGTTGGGAGATGTTTCAGGAGGTTGGCTTCCAGTGCGTGCACCTTTTCAGCCACAGGTGACAGATGCCCTGCAAATTCACCGGGAAGTCAACACCACAAACGCTTCCCGTTACAAGTTTTATGACAAGTCCACCTGCATTGATTCAACTGCTCAATGCCTAATAAATGAGTCAAAAATTAGAGAACTAATTCTGCCACAGACATTTATTATCAGCAGCGAGATTCCTTCCCAGCCAGTTTTATTCCAGGCCTGTGAACTTCATTACGTTTGGGAAATGGACAGAACTAAGTGCAGTCTGTTATACAATTAAAAAGGAAATACCATTAAAGATCCGGAAAAGACAGTAAAAGGAAATCATTCAAGGACTCACTTGTCAGTCCAGTGAAGATTCTCAAAATCTTTCCATCTCAATGTGGACTGAAAAAGGTGTTAATCACAAATCCTCAATCAGTACTGCTTCAAAGATGCATTTTTAAAATCATTGTAATACCTACCAATTTCTCAGAATGTGGAAGTAAACAATCTTGAAGATCTTCAGATTACCAATGTTTGCAAAGTTCCTCACATGAAGTCATCCTGTTGCGATAGTCCATGGTGCACCATGTGCAGGCCACCACAACATCTGTCTCCAGCAAAATGTTGCCCTAATGCCACTTCAGACCACAGACAACAGATACACATTTCAGTGTGACAGAAAAGCTTCTCTATCCTGGACCCAGTAAATGCATCATAAGGGGGGAAAGAAAAATGAGAAGAGGCCCAAAAAGGAAAGATGAGGAAAGCTAGGAGAAGTGACACATAAGAAAACAGACTTATCATCCTCTTAATCCAAATTCCTATAAGCACATATTTCAACTTACTCGAGATGTACAGTTGAATCTGCCCATTTAGAATTTACATATTAACTGAGCTCCGATAGAAGAGTCAACAATGAAAAAGCTGGGCTAAATATGTTCATCTAGACAGTAATCAATTGTAATTAATACCAAGTAAAGCATTGAAATAGACAGCATAAGTGGCCAGAAGACAACTATAATGAATGCTTGGAGAGACAAGAGGTACAATGAAAACTTTAAGAAATAGCGCAGTTGGTCTAAGAAAAGAAAAGGTTTAAGCTTTTTGAGCCTAATGGCTTTTTCCTGTTCGTAATTATTTTTGGTAAGGAAAAGGAGAGGAAGAGAGGAAGAGAGAAAGAGAGAGAGAGAGAAAGAGAAAGAGAAAGAGAAAGAGAAAGAGAAAGAAAAAGAGAGAGAAAGAAAGACAGAAAGATAATTGCAAGATTTAAACTGAAATCTTTGTCCTCCCCAACACATTAGGCTAACGGGAGTGATAATACTGTGGGATCCTCCCACTAGCAAACCCACACAACTCCACCTCCCCCCCCCACCCCCCCAACCACACGCAACATCATACAGATTACACACATACATTCCCATTTTCCATCAAAATTTTAAAAAAAATTAGTCAGTGAAAACAAGTTGGAGAAATGCTTTTTTCAGAAGCATATTTCAGAATCAATATCACACATCTCAGAAGAACTCAAGAAATAAAATTTAAGTTGCTTGTGTCAATTAAACAAGCAACTGCTACAGTTCCTCAAACATTCTCTTTACAACTTCTAATGCAGGTTGCAAAGTAGTTAGAATTAAGAGGTCTATAGCTTGCATTGTACAAATAGATTTTACACAATTCTACCTCTATCACATTCTTTACTGAGGCACAGAAGCTGCTCATTCTTGTAATGGCTGGTCAAGCAATTGAGAAACAGGTCACCACATAGTCTCCATTTTATATCTCAGAAGCTCTTTACACAGGAATAGAAATTCTTTTCAAATCTAAGTAGCTCATCAGTTAGAGATGAATTTGTTTCTTTTCAATTAACATTTTGGTTATTTTCCTACTCTCTCCCCACCTCCCCTTCCCCCCCGACCCACCCCAAAGTTCGTAGTGCACAGGTCAAAAGCTTGTTGTAGCAGCATTTTTGTATCAGTACTTTAAAATCTTTCAAACACCTCTCTCCAGCTGGGATTTGCTTTTTTATGTGGAACCCAGCTAACCTTCAAGTGTCAAGTTTCCAGGATAACAGAAGCTTCACGGCACAAGTTGGGGAAGGCAGAGTGCCACTTTAACTGGATGCAGTAGCAATGGGCTTCTTCAGTTGCTGATTCATGATCTCCCGGGTGCGGCATGCTTGAATCTGATCATAGCAGGAGTTACAAACCAGGACAGGATCGTATAACTGTTGATCTGGAATGGGTAGTTTCAGGTGGCAGCAGTTGGCACAAAACACATTCCCACAGTTCCTAGAAAGAAAACAGTTAACATTAATACACTTACTGAGGGACATGGGACTGTTGAGTTGCATTCCACACAAATCCTATTTTCTGCCATCTCTTAAAGTAACCTATAGGGAGACCAGAAGCCTATCGGGTTCTCACCAAAAATCACTATTCTTTAAATACAATACATCACTATGACATTTGATGGTGGAAACTGAGCATAATATTAGTTTTGCCCAACATACACATAATTTTCATCCCAGGATAGTAGCAGTCAGTAGAAGGAAGCCAGTTTATTTTTCCTTCCCAAACCAAGTGTATTAGTTTGATAATAGTCTGTAGAGTTTTGAATTACCTCCAGTTTATGGATGACAGCTAGCCTGCCATATTCTATGGTTGCACTGCAACCGGCAAATCAAGGTAAAAAGGGATGAATAAGGGTTTTATCAGGAGATAAGCTAACACCAAAACTAACACCAACATCAGACTGCAAAGAAAATTCCCAGAGTATAAACTGACTAATTTTAGAATATTAAATTCACATTCCCCAAAACATGCCAATTTTTTCTACAGTAGAACAATAATATTAGCAGTGCTATTTTGGGCTGGATGGCAGACCCAATTTTTAAATTAATTTAATTCAGATACATTTAGTGATTGTTAGTTGAAAGAGTGTTTAATTATATATTGGTTCATCAGTTTTTCAGGCCTGAGTAATGGATATTGGTAGTGTGGGCTAGTGAGACAGTACTGAAGTGAGAATCAGCACTGGTTGACGACTCAACTGCTGCAGCAGCTTATCTACTTGTGCCAAGTCTTGTTCAGACCTACACTAATCACAGTTAAACCAATTATCAATTTTAAAATTGCATCTTTGCTTTCATGTTCTTCCATGACCTTGCCTATCCAGATCTCTAATCTTTGCCAGCTCAATAACCTCAAGTGCCAGCGTTCATCCAATTCTGATCTCTTCAAAACACTGGTTTTAATTTCTCTACCACTAGTGTCTTCAGTTGCCTCAGCTGTAAGATTTGGTATTACTTCCCCCAAATTTCTGAGCCTCCTTTTCCCTTTCAGATATCCCTTAAAACCTACCTACTTGAACAGCATTTGGCCATCTGCCTTGTACTGCTTTGAGTCCAATTTTGCTTTATAATGCTCCTGATAAGCCACATGGAATATTTATTACATTATAGGACTAGTTAAGTATTAGTAGTTGGTGAAGACTTAACTCACTGAGTTATTTTCCATCCCATTTACTGAACGCCTTTATCATGAATAAATGGTTTACTTGTTTATGGATGACTGGACAGGTCGTGACACCATACCCATTAAGAAAGCCAGGCTATATTTACCTGCCCCAACCAACCTGCTGACGCAATGTCAACCCTTTTACCAAATCATCCTCTGGCCCTTTGAGCACTGCATGTTCTTTTAACCTTAATTTGAAATCCCCACAATCTACAACCCCCAAACCTACTTCAAGTTTCTCACTAAGGCATCTTGATTTCTTTGCACTTTAGGTCTCTACATTGAGTAACTTCATCATCAGTAAATTAAATCTCCAGGCTATTCCATTTGCCCTTTCTCCTTTGGTTTCATCAATCTCCTGACTGCCCTTAACCGTTTCCTCCATGTAAACTCTCAAATCATACCCACTCCCGTGGAGGAAACCCATTTTCATTCCTTCAAGTTCATGGGTAATAGACTTCAACATATTGGGTACAGGCATACAGTATTGTGCTTGCAAGAGCAGACTGGAATTCTGTAGTGAGTAACTCACCTGCTGACTCCCCAGAGCTCATCCATTAACTATAATGTACAAGCAGAAGTGTGATTGAACACACTCTACTTGCCTGAAGGAGTGTGGGTCCAACAGCACTCAAGAAGCTTAACATCCAGAACAAGGCAGCCTACTTGATCAGTACTTATTGTACAAGGAGGCAATGTTGCTATGGCGACGTCACTGGAACAGTAATCCAAAGTCCCAGGCTAATACTCTCGGGACACGGGACTGAATTTCACTATGGCAGACCGTGAAATCTGAATTCAGTAAGAATCTGGAATTAACCCTTATTAATTGCCATAAATACCCACCTGGTTCACTAATGTCCTTTAGGAGAGGAAATTGGTTGTCCTTACCTGGTCTGGCCTACATGAGATTCCAGACTCTCAGCAATTTGGTTGACTCTTAACAGCCCGATGAAATAACCTAGCAAGTAACTCAGTTTAAGGGCAATTAGGAGTGGGTATAAATGTTGGCCTTGCCAGCATCACCCAAGTCCCAATAAACAAAAATAAACACAATAATGAATAATACTCCCTTAAGCTTTCACACCCTCCACAACGTGGCAACAGTGTGCATTACAGCAATAAGGCAAACCTACTTTAACAACAGCCCCCAAATTGCTAACTTCTAGCATGCAGAAGGGCGAAAGCACTAAATGCAAGTACCAAGCCAAATCACTTCCAGGTTTTTCCACATCTTTCTTAGTATGGAAGTCAAATCTTGGTATCTCACCTGCAATGGTGTCTCCTTTTGGCTAACCAGAATTCTGAGTCACAGTTAAAACAATGTGATGCCATGTGGTCAGGGACCCACCGTGTCACCTGCAATAAATAAACATTTTGAAAATAACCTCCTTTAAGATGTATGCATACATCAAATAACCAATATCCATGTCAACCAATGCTAATATATATTAAACTACAGATTTTAGAGAAAATTCTGTATTTTGTTAGAATATAACTGTGCTTAAGAACAGAAGACAAGACCTGTTAGCGAGAGAGGTTAGTACCGAAAGAAAAACTGATGATTTCCTAAATACCTACCTTCCAACAGCCTGTTCCCAAATATTTTTGCAAATGAACTGTAATGGTTTTTCTGAATCAACATAAACTCATATACTAGTTTTTGTTGCCTTTCCTGGAAACTTATACCATACAACTATTACAGATATGTTTAAATGTTCCTATGATTCATCTTTAATTTTTATAAATAATTTCAGAATTTTCTTATCATTACTTGGAATCCGAGTGTTCCGAATTGGGGACTGCTCCTGGTCAGGGGAAAATTGTGGAGAAAACAGTAGTGGGAAACTGGAAGAGAGTTGTTCAAGGTACCAGGGAGAAGAAGATTAGATATAGACAGCAGGCAATGGAGAGTGGAAGGGAAGTGTAAAATGAGGGATAGAGAGCTAAAATAGTAATTTAAGAAATAGCAACATGAATGCCCTGTGATCTGTCAAACCTGCATCACCATTCAGGGAGATCATAGCTGATCTGCCTCACCTCCATTTTCCCACACAATCCCTTCATTCTCTTAGCAGCCAAAAATCTATCAAACACTGTCTTGAAAAATCTCAACAACTATGCATCTACAGCTTAGAGAATTCCAACAATTTGCAATCTACCTCAGTTTCTAACATCGTAATTCCCTCGGATTCCTCCAACAGTGCACACTTCTATGAAAGTTGGGTTGAAAGATAGTGGGGGAAATGCACAGCGGTGTCGAGTTGGGAGAATTTTTCAAGGGCAGCAGCAATTTGACCATCAATACTGCTGCCAGAAGATCCTGCCAATGTCGTTTTAATTCCAAATTCCAAACCACTCAAGTTGTGAATAGTAATAGGTCCAGCCTTGTTGAACATTACTGCCCATCTGCTGCTACTGTTGAATAACTATCCTTCATTCCCATTCTCTTTTTGTCTTGAATCTAGCTAGCAAGCAATCTATTGCACCATTTGTCCCAATCTCAGTTTTTGACCTTATTTGATAGTTTATTATGGGGCACCTCATTGGCAAGCCTTTTGAAAATCCATATAATTACATCCACTCTATTACCACTGTGTACTTTCTGTTACCTCTTCAAAAAGTCCAAGTTGGTCAAACAAGATTTCAATTTCGAAATCCATGCTGCCTTCTGATGACATTGATGGCATTCAATGCCCTCTATAATAATATAAGATACAGGATCTAAAATAGACGATCCAGCCCATCTTGTCTGCTTACTGTTCAATGAGATCTTGGCTGATCTGATAATCCTCAGTTCCATTTTCTTGCCTCTTCCCCATAACTTTGATTCCCCTACTGGCTAAAAATATACAAGATTGAGACAGACTTTAGTGACACCGTTTTGACAGCTCTCTGCAGTAAAGAATTTCACAGATTCACTATCCTCTGAGAAAATAAATTTTCAGATGACTTAAATGGATGATCCCTTACTCAAATGATGTCCTCTGGCCATAGATTCTTCACACAAGGGGAAACAACCGGTTTTCTTTTCTTCTTCTAAACTCCACTTAGTACAAGCCCGAGACTCAACGTAACCTCATCGGAAATTCCCTCCATAACTGGAATTGATCAATTGAATCTTCTTTGGCATGCCTTCAAATCCAGTACGTATTTGCTAAATCTCTTTTACTAAAAATATTCCATTATTTTCCCTACTACTGGTGTTAAGTTTTGCATTCCCCTTACAACTTATTTTCTCAAGCAATTTTGTATAGTCAATAAATCTGGAGACATTACACTTTGTTGACTCATGCAAATTATTTACGAGACTGCAAACAGTTGAAGGTCAACCACTGATTGGCTGGTATGCCATTTATAATAGCTTACTCACCCAAAAAAGAACCCATCTACTCCTACATTTTTTTCTGTCCATTAACCAATCCTCAATCCATGCTAACATAAACCCAATCTCACACTGGTACTGGGAAAGGCAAGGCAGGCAAGCAAGGGAAATAGAGAATGGGCTTCCATTGCAACAGTATAGTGGGTAACCGAGGGGCTTCTTGTCAGAGTCCAAGGTACTTAATAATTCACCTCTGCAGAGCATAACTCAAAATTAGAAAGAAATGCAAATTCTTCACAAAGGTTTAAAAGAATGGTTTTGCATGAATTTCCCTGACTCGAGTTCTCCATTTTACGACTCTGTTGTACAAAGAGTGATGAACAACCTATATTCTTACCTCAGTCTCCTTTCTATCCACAGGCTCCCAACTTGCTTCCGAGCGCTGCTCGTCACTGTGAACGGACAGAGATTCTTCAATATCACTGTCATCTGACTCTCTCAAGCAGGTCTGCAAATCAGAGGTGGTGAAACGTTTACCATATAACAGCACAGATTTATCAATAACAAAGGTGGTGAACTACAATCCATAACACCCACACTGTACCAAACCCTATTGTTCATACCATACACCACATTAAACCCCATGCTGTTTACACACACACAGCAAATCAGATAACTTTAACATCACAAGTTACCAAATCTGCATCAGTTATATTTCATGTTGCAGCAAGTTCCACACTGTGGAAACCACAGATTAATTTCATTTGCAAGGTCATGGACATAGATACAAGATTTCTGGTAGGTTAGAAATTCTGCTCTCCCATCTGGACCTGACGCATTTACTGTATTGGGGATTGTTCAGGAAGAGCACCACAAACCAGGAGGGATTTCTGCTAAAACAAGGGACATTGTCAGTGTAAGAGCAAGGAAAAAAAATGTTGTGGGAAAGTTTCGGAGATGACAATGAGGGGTTTTAAAGGGCATAAGCACCTTGAAGAGGAGTTCATTGTGCACTTAAGGGCACATATTATCCTCAAATGTCAGCAGCTAAAGGTCAGATCGGAGGACAGGGTCCTAATTACAAACTGGAATTTTTATTGCTATACAAGGTTGAAAATCACTGGAGATACGAGCATAATTTTCCTGCAGCGGGAGTGACTTAAGGTACACAAACTCCAAGTTGAAATTTTAGGCTTTGGAATAGAATTTTCTGTAATTTTCAATAAGCATTGCTATATTTGGCCAGGGTGAACGTTTTAAGCAGAGACATTGAGAGTGGAGGCAGAACAACCAAGAGTATCCTGCTCTTCAAGGGTCCCATATTTACACACACTCTTGATTTCAAATAGCTATTTAGTATAGATAATTGGATGCGATATCCATTATAACCTAGAAAATGGTTTCATCCAATTGAACATATTATTAGGTTACAGCGAGCAAACTGCAGCTCAGAATTTGTTTCTGCATTACAACTTAATCTCACGCATACAACGTTGAACAGGAGACTAAGAAGACTACTTCTAACTGAAAATTAAAAGAATCTACCAACAATATTCTTAAAAGGAGAGGGAGAAAAAGTATTGCAGTTACACATTGAAAACACAGGGCTTTACACCCAAGAAACAGACCGGCACTGAACTCTATCCCAAGTGTTATAAAATGGAAGTGTGGGCTTCTCAACAGTTCAGCAATAAAAGCACCAACTTGCTGTAGCACCAAGCCAAATAGGTTAGAAGGTCCTTAGTCTGCACTTGGTTATCAAATCATAGTTGGCTATCACTATAGGTCACTTCAGTAATCTTGTAACAGGAAGCGAAAAAATATTCTGCCATGCCTCACTGTTAACAGTGACAATTATGCATGGGTGTGACACAAATGACATCTCTATGAATGTGATGTATTAACTACAGCTGATCTCTTTAGGGTTTGACAGTCAATCACACCACCCTCCTTCTTTGCCAGTTATATCAGTGAACAACCACTTAGCAATCTCATGATCATATTCACAGCATTTCTAACAAAGCTTCCCCTTGACCTTACAATTACCCATTTTGGTCTTTTTTCCTTTTCTACATGCTGTTTCTTAACAATCTCTTTTAATAGCATTGGATGAAATCTCATCATCAATCTATCATTTCACTCATTTCTGCTGAGAGGTATTAAACATCTTGTGCAAAATACTGCCTTGGATAAGCCATTGCTTACTCCAACATAACAGTGAGAATAGTTAACATCTGTTGCCTGTATTCCATATTGCAACAGTCCCACTTAGTCATAACCCCTACCCCAAAGCATTAGCCTGGGTCTCTGGATTACCAATCAAGTAACAGTACAGCTACGCTACATTCTCTACAACATTAATTGCAATACAAGAACAAACATAGCTTACTTCAATTATACAGGGCATTGGTGGGGCCATATCTGGCATACTGTGCGCAGTCAGATCTCTACAGCCACGGAAGGATACCTTCCTGTGAGACAGTGCAACAAAGGTTCGCTGGACTAATTCCCACAATGCAGGATTGTCCTCTTGTGAGTCAATGAGTAAAACAGGCCGGCATTCCCCGGAGTTTAAAAGAATGACAGATAATTTAACTGAAACATATAAAATGGGGGTGGGGGGGTTTGACAGGTCGAATGATGAGAAAATCTTTGGCCTGGCTAGGGTATTCAGAACATTGGTCAGATTCCCAGAATAAGGGACTGACAATTTGAGATGAAAAGTCTCTTTATTCAAAGGGTTATGAAGCTTTGGAAATTTCTACCCCCTAGAGCTGTGGATGCTCAATCATTGAGTATACTCAATATTTTGGGTACTCGGAGAATTAAGGGATAAGGGAATAACGTGCGAAGTGGTTTTGAGATACAAAATTAGCTGCAATCTGGTTGAATAGCAGAAATGGTCAAAGGCCTACTTCAGCTTATTGATGTTACAGCCTTGATTCAACACACCTCTAAGCCTGCCATGTTTATGGATTCTGCTCCCTTCATCCTGGTACTGGTACATGACCCTTGAATCAGATTGCCTCCACACTTTGAAATTCCCTTTCTAAACTCTTGACTTATTACCTCCCATCCGATTCCTTAAAATAAAACTTTGGAATAAACAAGGTTAGACATGGTTGAGGCACTTTCTAAAATAAGTGGGTTTGAAAGATGTCCAACTTTACGTTGGAAGAATAGCCGTTTGACAAATGTGGAATGTAAAGCTATTAACTTGGAAATGCATTCCAGCAGAAGTCAAGAAACTTAATTGAGATGAAGAGAAAAAGGATAAAGTAAAAAGAAATTGATTTACTTGCTGAATTTTGAGACATCATATTAATTGAAGTTAGTCATGTTAAGTATCAGACATCAGCTGTGGGGTAGCGTTGGAACACTTGTCTAAGTTAAAGGAATCTAAATTTAAGTGCTAGTTCAGAGATTTCACCATGCAAGTCAAGGTGGGACTTCAGGGAATGCTGTATTATTAGAGTTGCTGCCTTTTAGATCATCTGTAATTCAAAAAATCCCACAGCGCTTTTAAAAGGTGATCAGAGGAGTTCTCTATTTTCTTGTCAATATTCATCCCTCAAACAACAAAGTGAAATTCACATCATTGCCATTTATGAAGCTAGCCTGTGTGCAAATTGCTGTTGTATTTCACTACATTACAGTCACCACACTTCATAGGCAAAGTCGTCTTTTGGGACTTTGAGGATTTAAAGTTGTTACATAAATGTATGTTCTTTTGTTAGCCTGAACAAACATTGTCATAAGTTGTTAAAGATTTTCTTCACTTACAAAGTCATCCCCATAGTCAATATCCAACTCCACCGGGGATGCACAGTACTGTCGACTATCTAGTCGCATCTGAAGTTCATGAACCTGTCGACGAAGCAACTCAACCTCCTGCTTGTAAGTTGCCTCAATCTGTCGTAACCTTTGTTGAACAGCATCCACAGGAAATGGTAACCCATCATCATCTACATAGCTCGGTGACATCTCTAAAGTTGTGGGAGCAATCTGTCCAACTGGTTGAAGTTGTTTCCATTGAGATGAGTGAGTGAAAAAACCACAAGTCTTTACATTTGATCCTAACGAATAAAGGCTGGAATGGATCTGATGGGATTGTCGGAGACTTTTAAATGCTCCTAATTGTTCTTCTTTAAGCAAGTAGTGTCCACTCATGGCAGAACCCACTCTCAGATGCTTATTATTTAGTCTTTTATAATGACAACCATTCAGCTTGGCTTTCCGGTGACCTGTCTCCCCGCCATAGGCAGATTTTACCAAACCCTGTACACTGTCCCAGTTAGAAGCCAATAATGAGAAGTCACTGAACTGACTCTGACAAATGTGTTTTCTGATAGTCCTCACATTCTCTATTGCTGTTCTCCCAAATCTACATTGTTCTGCTTCATTTTGAAGTCCATTTGCAAGCAGGATACCATTCTTCCCAAAGCTCAAGTCCTTGGGGAAAGAAAAACCATCTGCTTTTGCCCTCTCCTCAGTCACCGTCTCTGTGGAGCTGTGCATGGCTGAAACGTTCTTCTCGAGATTAAGCACATCTGCCACAGAATGGAGGTAGGGTTGTAAAGCAGAAGGATTGGCCTCGTTTCCTGAGGACTGGCTACTGGCTGCGATGGTCTTTGCAGATGGGTTGGATGTAAATGGCTCACAATGACCTGGAAAATTTTCAGAAATCCTACATTCTTTTGGTTTATCCAGAGTTACTTCATCCTTTGCAGTAACCTTAAGTGCTTTCTCCTCAGTCTCCTTATTTGCTATTGCATTAATGCTGAGATCATGTAAAGATTCGTGCTGTTGAGTGTCTTTGGGATGAGTTAATGGGTTGAGGTTTCTGTAGTACTCTGTCCTTTCATTTGGATTCCTGCTATCAGCCAACTCCTCCTCCTCTTGAGGGACAGGAAAGTTACGGAACAGATTTTCCTCTCTAGCTTCCTCTGCTGTTTCTACTGGATCTATTAAGCTAACTACTTCTTGTTCAGGGAGTAGTGCTCCAGTCCCACTTTCAGGAACGTCAGATGCATCAGGGCCATCAGGTGCAGCCAGCATAGGCATGTTTTTAGACTCCGGAGTGAGACATCCTTCCTGACAATGTTGGTTTATGTTTGGATCACTGGATGTTCTTGTCAATGGAGTCCCACTGTCACAAGCCAAAGGAAGATTGTCCACAGAGCGGGCTTTTGGTAATCTAAAAAGAAATAAAGAACTAATTGTTTGAAGAGTCAAGAGAATTTGCAAAATAAATTCAAAATTCAAACTCTAGTTTTTTTTTTATTCTTTAGTGGAATGTGAGCATTGGTCATTGTCCATCATTAATTGCCCTTTGAGTGGTTTACTCGGCCATTCCAGAAGACAATTAAGAGTCAACCACACTGCTGTGGAGTTGAAGTCATATGTAGGCTGGACCAAATAAGGATGATCCTGCCCTGCAGCATGTTGGATGTTTATTTTTTGAAAGAAATGACAACCAATGATAGGTTTCAGGGTTAAAAGGTTTCAAATTAGAGGTTTCAATTCTAAAGTTATTGGTTGAAATCCAAGTCCACTAACTGCTACGGTGGGATTTGAACCTGCGTCCATGAAAATTAACCCAGGCCTCTGGATTATTAATCCAGTGAGATTACCACTACACCATTATCTCCAGGATGATGTTTGGAATCTGTGTCAATTTCAGATTTGCCAAGTTTCCACTTCTCAATGTGCAGCATTTGCAGCAGTGGAAGAGGAGACTGGATCTCTGTCACTTCAAGATAGGAGCAATTGAATGACAGGTTAACATGGAGCAAAGTCAAAAGCTGTGATCAGAACAGAAATTGAAGCAAGAAAGAATTACAGAAACTGATTTTATTCCCACTTCGTTAGGGGGGAGAGATTAAGGCAGTAAAAGAATAGACAGTCAAAAAACTGTTGAAGTCCACAAGGGGACAACAATGCCTAATGCAGGTGGACCCATGAAGTAGGCAGCTTTAATACAGCAGGATCAATTAAATTGCCAGTCCTGTGTCTGCAGTGGAAGTCCAATCTAATAATAAAGAAACTTCAATATAATTTAGTTAAATATTTTAATCTGGGCTTTCCAATCACTTGTTTGCTCTGAAGACGTCTACTCCACGTCAAATATAGCAAGTTTCAATTCAACTTCAAAAGATGGACACTGAATACAGAAAGGAAATTCTTGAAATTAAACACCTTATATGAAATACTTTAAAGTCTTGTTTTTCCAATTTCAGCACAACAAGTTTCCAAAATGTGTTGATTAGTAATGTTAATTTTCAGGAATAATTTTATTGTTTCAAACATCTAAGTTTTTGCTTCACCTGCACACAAAATTTTATCAGCAGCATTGACCATACACAAGGTGCCTGATTACTGTAATAGCTGCTCTTTATTAGCATACTTCATCTCATTCCGTTTATTAGCACTGCCATTCAAATTCTAACTTTAATCAGTGGCAAGTCAACTGTTGACAACTGTTTAGAAGCTTCACAGGTAAATAAGCCTTGCATTTTATAGCACCTTCCACAACCATCTAAGCAACTTTGAGGGAATTAAATATTTCTCAAGTTCAGCCACTGCTGTAGCCTAGGAAAATCAGTCAATTTATATTTAGCAATGTTAACAATGACCAAGTTGTTTTCATTTATGTTGACTGAAGGACAAATATTGGTCAGATCACATGAATGAAAACTGACGGAAGACCTTGTTCTATCATTTAACACAAAAGATGGTAGGGAAAGAAAGAACATCAGCAGTTTAAAACATGCTTACGATCAAAATGGACATGATAGGGAGGAAAGACACTGACTACCACTATTCACACCACCTAAAAGAAGAATTTGCAGTTTCTAACTTGACCTTCCACAGCCACCCAATAATTTTTGGCAAATTTAGGTCCTTTCAGCTACTTGCTCTCATTCCAATTACTTCATGGATAATTTCTCAGTAAAATCCCATATCTCATCATAGGATTTCCAGGACAGACTGTCAAGGACTGTCACCGGACTTGCATGGAGATTTGCAAGTTATCAACTATTAAAATAGTAAGGAGGGTTTTAAAAATCAGCAAAAGACAACTAAGAACTTGGAGGGAAAATATAGTATACAAGAATAAACTAGTAAGAAATATAAATGTATTGAAAAGACTTCTGTAAGTATATAAAAAGGAAGAGTTGTAAAAGCCAACATGCATTCCTCAGAGGGAAAGACAGAAAATTATAATGGAGAATAAGAAAAACACCAGACACATATTTACCATCTGTCTTTACAATACAAAACAAAAGCGAACAGTAAATGACAAGGGACTAATGATCTAATGAGTGAGAAACAAAGTAGTTCTTACCAGGAAATAAATAAAGTACTGGAAAAATTAATGGAACTAAAAGTTGACAAATCTCCTGGACCTGATGGCATACATATGGTTTGAAAAGAAGTGTCTACTTAGGTTAGTGAATACATTGCTCCTGATCTCCCACAGTTCCCTAAATTATGGAATTTTTTTTGGACTGGGAGATATCAGAAATATTCAAAAAACAAGGAGCTATAGTTATTTAGTTAGACATAAATGGTAGGGATAAATGATAGAATCTATTACTGAGATCATGGCAGTACAGCACGTCTGAAAACATTGAATGGTTAGGCACACAACAGGTTAGTATCACTGTTTTAAAGGCAATCACGTTTGACTATTAAGTTTTTAAAGGTGTAACCAGTAAAGTAGATCAGAGAAAATGGAGAATGTCATGTATAAGGACTTTCATAAGGCAAGTACGGAGTTAGTTCATATATGGTTACTTCACCAGGATAGCACACTGGAAATAAAGCTCCCCACTTTTCCGGAGTTATCACAAAAGCAAACGCTTTCTAAAAATACGCAGAATTCCCCAATTTGTCTGACTTCCAGCTCCAGGTTGACACAGCATGGACCAGGTTTCTCTCCTGAACAAGAATTAGTATTTATTACAAACAGACAGTCTACAGCTACAGGTAGACAATTATTAACAAAAACAGAAGTTACTGGAAAACTCAGCAGGTCTGGCAGCATTTATGGAAAGAAAGCAGAGTTAATGTTTCAAGTCCAGTGACCCTTCTGAAGAAGAACTCTTACATGGGCTCTCACAGTTTAGTTCAGGTCTGTCAAAGTTATTCTGCAGAAATAGTCTTTCACGATTAGGAGGTAGAGTGCAGCTTTGTATGCTATAGTTACATTTGGTTAAAATTCTGCATTCTGAATTGTCAGGATTCAGACTAATGGAAAGTTTAACCCTGCATTTCTTGAAGGTTACATGAAGTTATAATTGCACAAATTTTGATCATCACAAAACCAGGTCTTAAGATTCTTCATGGAGACTCAGAATAGATTCTTCTGCAAGCCAATTACTTTTTCTGTCATATTTTAACAAGAAAATAACCCGTTAGGCATCTTAAAAGATTTACCCACTGCATCAACTATGCTTAATTCTCTCCCTCCCCTACTGGCAGTGAATGCAAATTTTGGTCAATGCTCAATTACTGCTGCTCTATATTGCCACGAGAAACTGAATTCTTCACTGATACGGATCTCTTTTCCAAATGAACTACAGTAGTTTTGCAACACTGTCATCTGTTGAGTGTTCAGTAAGGAGCAACTATGGGGTTGACTTTCAAGAGGGACATCATAAAATGGTGAAATGTTGGACAAAAAAGGCGAGAGATTACAGTTATGTAGATAGCTTGGAGAAGCTGAGGTTGTTTCTCTTACAACAGAGATGGGTAAGGGATTTGATAGAGGGGTTTAAGTGTTTGGATAGAGTAAATAATGAAACTGCTTCCAATGGATGAAACATTGATAACTAGAGATGACAAATTCAGATTGGGAGAGTAACCAGCAGCCATGATAATAAAACTTTTGCACAATTGGTTAGAATTTAGAACATACCATCTAATAGAGTCTAGCATACAGATTCAAAGGTAGCCTTCAAAATGGAAATGGATAAATACTTGACGGAAAAACAAATGTACAAATATGGGGATAAAGCAGATGAGTGGAACTAACTAAATTATTCTTTGAAAGACCTAAATATGACTTGCCAAGATAGGATGCGGATCTGAAGTGCACTATTCCATGAATCCATCAAAAGCTCACTGGATTACATGTTTGCTTTCTCAATGCATCCAAATCCTATTAAAAGCTATTGCATTAATCTGAGTTGTAAAGGCCCAATATAGATTAATTGCATTTCAAAACAACCGACAGGAATAGTAAACAGTCTACACACCTGTCCAATGACTTTCCAGTTCGTTCCTCTGCTGCTCCACTTCGGGAAAGGCACAGGTCAGCACTGCCAGCTGGCACACATGGGGATGAAATTGGCAGATACACAGCTGTCCACACGTGAAGTGCCCGAACGTGACACACTGGGTGTAAAACCTGTCAAGAGAAATTACAGCTTTTATATTTTTAGCACAATTTCTCATTCCCGTCTGTCACAGCATAACAGTATTAAAGATTACCACTGAAATAAAAGAATCACCCATTGTAATACTAAGTCATGCATACTATTCTTGATCTACCCTATGTGGAGATAACTCTGAACAAACTTACGTTTAGGATCATAAAAACAAAGTGCTGGAAATACTCAATAGGTCAAGCAGTATCAATTCTGATGAAGGGTCATCACAACCTAAAGTGTAAACGTTTCTCTCCACAGATGCTACATGAGTATTTCCAATAGTTTATGCTTGAATTTCAAGTGTCTAGCCTTTTACATTTAGGGTGGCCTTGACTAAGATAGATTTGAATGTTGCTCACCGTTTCACCACTGGGGATGTACAGGTAATTTTGGAAGTTTTTGTTGCCACTTCGTAGCAGGGACCAGACTGAGCATGTGCGCTTATAGATGTTGCGTGCCTCTCGCTCTCTGCTATTGTTACACAAGAATGTTCCATAGAGACACGAATATGTATGTTGCACCAGTTTTACCTATGGAGAAATAAACAGGACATTAGTCTTAGGCATAAAATTCCACCGAAATATTTCCATATTAATAATAAATTTAACAATACACTATTAATAGTGAGAAATAAATTTGAAGGGTCCATGACCAAACAGTAGGCCAACGAGATTCAAAATGTAAAAGAAACTAACAATACCAAAGTTTGGGTTTTGGAACTGTCATGAATGTAGCAAATCTGAAGGAGTCAAAGATTGTAACAGCTTAACAAATAATTAGGAAAAACAAGGAATATGTTGGATGGTGTATTTTGAAGTTTGAAAGAACAAATTACTACAGTAGGATTGATTGAGACCAAAAGAAATCCAGAAAAAAAGACTAAGACTATTAGTGAGGCCGTGATTGTACACTAAACAATTCTTTCCTTGCATCTTGCCCATGAGTGAGAAAAAGTTGCTGCAGGATATGAAAATGATACCCTTGCCTTAGAACTGAGCTTTAGAGAAAGCCAAGTATTTTTCTGGGAGATTATCTATAGTTATTAGCATGTTATAAGGGTATATGGTGCTAAGTTGCTTTTATTCCTTCCCCAAAATAAGCGCTTGATGACTTACACTGGATCTCAGTCACTTGGTCAAGTAATACGTCAATTCTGAAGTTTAATTTTCAAGTCCCTCCATAGCCTTAGCCTCTCATTTTAGTCTCCTCCAGGTCCACAACCCTCCAAAATAATTGCACACATCTAATTCTAGCCACTTGAGATTCTGCGACTGCCCCACCAGTAAACATACCTTCAGCTATTTAGACTCTAAACTCAATAATTCCCTCTCTAAATATCAGCAGCTGGTTAACTCTCTTCCCTCCATTCAGATGAGCTTAAATCACATTTCTCCATTTAGGCTTTTGGCCATCTGTCCTAATTGTACTTTAAGCAGTTTGTATATAAGTGCTTTTGTGATAAGCCTCGAGAGATTTTATTAGGTTACAACTACTATACAATTGCAAGATGGTTTAGCTATAAAAGTGGAGTTGTTTATTGATTAAACACACATTCTTGTTACTTAGAGGACTTACTAGGAAAGCATCACTAAACTCAAAGAGACAAGGGAACTGCTTCAAAAGCTGATGAACACAGTCCAGCCACTGCAGAAATACTGGGCATTGCTCACTCAAGTCATCCAGATTTTCAGAGTGGCCACATCGGTCACCAAACTTATGACCAAAATCCAGCCACTCTGTTTCCACCAGAACCTGGAATCCCTGTAAAATAAGAAACAGTATTAGTGTATTCAAAGATCTAGTGACAGCATGACAATAAAATGACAATATTGTACACCAAATTTAAAACTTGTAAAACTTCCATTAGGAAATTAGAGAGAAAAAATTATTAATTTTGGGGGTCACTTTTGATGTTGGGACTTCATTTCAATAGCCAGTCCTGTTATAGATGTTAGCGGATCCACTTACTTCCAATGTTTCAGATTAATACTAGTTTCTGATTCAATTAGCTTCCCATAGATTCAATGATGGATTCATGTTCTCGCGATCACACTCCCATCGAAAAATACATATCGAAGTCAGAGAGATCATATTGTCCCAAGTTACTTATTGTATCTTGGTTATGGTGATAAGAAATCCTCTACTTTTATACCACTTCTTTTCTAGATGATAATCACAAACCTAACTCAGTCACTCTGAACGAATGGCATTACTTCAAAATGAATATGTGAGCAATGATAATAAGTTTTATCATAATAAATAACACAATAACTCCAGTTGCAACAATGCCTATAATTACGATAGATAAGTCAAATGCCCATATCCAAATCCAACCCATCAATGGGTTGAAAATCTCTGGCCTTACGGATGTCATGTTCCTTTGTGAAATGAGTTTGAGCAACCTCAACTGAACTGAGGATGCTCAGACCCAAAATGCTAATACCACTACTTGACAAGACGAAGGGCCATAGGTTTGCTGGTGTGGACGCAAACTATTGCATTGGTGGTACATCAAGGTCTTCAATACAACCAAGTATCTTTGAGGAACATGAAGTTCACAAAAAATGCGTAAAAGGCTAGATGTGGGTTTTGTACATTTGAGACATAATTCTACGGGTAGCTTTGATCAGTTTTTTTAAAAAAAGTTATTAGCATGTTATATGGGTGTAGGTGCCAAGTTGCATTGATGAAACTCAGTTACCCGGTGATCCAGCCATTAGCAACGACTTAAATTTGATAAAAATTAATAAAACGAAGTCTCCTATATAAAGATTGAGCAACAGTGAGCAATTTAGTCCAGCTGGACAACTTCAGGACAGGATTTCTAAAGAACAGCATAGATTTGTTACATTACTTGAATATGTCTTTTGCTGAGAAGATTGTTGTGGTTTAAATTACTTGCCTGGCTTCAATTTCTTTGCCTTTTCCCACCTTTGGATGCCTGTTTCAGAATAAGCTATTCCCAGTTTTAGTCCTATTTATCAACTTTTTGTGCTGCTCCAGCTCAGAATTCTGAACAAATTATACAGCAAGAGCAAAATGTTGAAGTCCGGTTTCTCAGTTAAAGCTTACTCTCAAACTATTAAAAAACAGAAGCATTGCTCATTTCAGTTAGTTAGTGTATTGCTCTTCCTAACATATGGCCTTTCAGTCAAGTCAGAGAAGTTCCCTAAACACAACATCTTTCACTTTCAAAAGCTGCAACTCATTCTTGGACAGAAGGAATGAGCTCTTGAAAGGGCTTCAAACATTGAGCAAATTTGGATTATATTGAGTCAGTTTGGAGTATTTTAAATCGTAGCACAAAACGTAGCAAATTGCACCATAACGAGATCAGTATCAGTAAAATACGAGGTTTGATCATACCTCAATTGTCCTATAATAAGGGTCTAGCAAAATCTTGGCCAGCGCGACTATCTGTGGAGTGCGATCCCATCCATCAGAGCAGTGTACAAGGACTGGCCTCCCTTCCCTGTCCACCACATTTGCAACCAGCATAGCTGCCTTCAACATCACAGATAAGTGCTGCAGCCACTTGGTGCTCTCCAGAGCTGAAAGCCAACTGTCAACAAAAGGCAACGGAAAACATCAATAATAACAGGGGAAAAAAAACAAAATCAGCTGCAATGAATAAATTATTACAGTTAATCAAAGATACTTGCAGGGATGTGGAAGGAACAAACACTCAAATGTAACCAAAGCAAGCACGTGAAGAAACTGGGCACAGCTGATACCATTAAGAAACCCCACCTGATAGGAACCCAACCATCCAGTTAATTTTTTAAAGAAAAAGAGTGTGTCTCCGGTTCTTAGAGAGAAATCACATCATAGCTAAACAGCAGCAAATTAAACACTGACAACAGCAGTTTGTGTGTGTCCAAACTGTAAGGAACACAGTGAGGCAGAATAAAATCTTTCTCCTGCAAGTCCACTGCAACATATAATGGCAAATGACAAGAAAATTTCCAATTGGCACAGGGATGGATGCAGCCAATCTTTTGGAGGCTATGCCATGGTTAAGGAAAAAAAAATATCTTGGACCATCCTATATTCAATTTGGGGGCACCAAAGGTATTAAAATCAAAATGAAAGGGCAGATGCATACTACACTTTGCTACAATGGAGGAGAGATTACAGAGACTTTGTACATCATTCCTAGACATTATGCTTTGTTATTAAGTGGAGTTGCATGCATTGCTTTAAATATTCTTTAGTTAGAAAACACTGGAAGCACTGAAGTTGATTCAATGTGCCAAGTATTACTTTCCACTGCAAACACTCCAGCCTTAGGACTACAAAAGCAGTTTCTCCAATAATAACTTACAAGGGAGAAACTACAAAAGTGAAGGTACAAAAGCACCAAAGATGGTGACTAGCCACCAGAAGACACTGGCTTGTTCTTACAGGATACAGCTGCAGGCATCAACATCATTCATTTAATGGGGTTTGAAACCATGGATTCAGCTGACAATTCCAGAAGCCTCAGCTGTCTCTTATAAAGGAGAATCATCCCTTTCATGAAGGAAGTAAAGAAGAAGTTAAGCTGTTTTCCCTATTTTAGAGAGTCTGCCAAGGAGGTGCCGGAACAGCAACCACAGCCACAGTTAGAAGAAATTTCTCCTCGCCTAGAAGGTCAAATCGCTACAGGGAAACAGAAGCAAAAGCAAAAACCGTACACTAGTTCAATCACCAATGGAAGTAAGTGAAATTGATAAGCTGCATTATGTATAAATGCAAAATATAAACATGCATCATACCCCCTCGAGATGTTTTACCTGGGGATCTAAATTTAGAGCTTCAAAAAGCATGGAATACCTTTGACAGAGCTTAGATTACAGCATCAAAGAGTTTGAACAGATCAAAATTTAACATGAATGGTTGTAGTCTGATTAATTTAAAATCGATAGTTGACCTAAAAGTCTGTCTATTAGCAGGCACACAATGTAACCAAACCTTAGACTACAAAAGGAAAGCTTAAAGCATGCTTCCAGAAATTACTTGCAGAGTTGGCCAATATTCTCTCACAAGTGGCGCAGCAAAGAGATATCGTAAAGGAGGCAAATGTCTCGGGTTTATGGAGATGGTTAAAGCCCAAAAATCACTATGCACCATTAGCTAATGAAAATTTTCACTTGCAATTGAGTGACAATACTGCATTTTAAAAAGACACGCCTCAGTAGAAAAGTAATTTAAGTTTGCAGAAGACTATCAGGGTGACACATTGTTAAGGATGAAGTTCATCTGCAGTATAAAGATGATCTTCTGAAAAAAAAGACTAAAATTATATGAGGGAGTGAACTAAATTTGGCATCACGCCTGCAGATCACAGTGCTTTGCAGGAAACTCGCATAAACCCTGATCCACAAGAATCTCTCCTCACCAACAATGATGTACTTTTCTTTCTGAGGGAGTTCCAGAAATCCTCTTAGCTGCAGTGCAACGGTCATTGCTGTGCTCACCCTCGCGGACAACAAGAAGGCCCATGCATCCTGTACACCCTCCAAGACTGCTGAGAATTCTGCTAGAGATTAAGGCTTCAAATCAAAGAGATTTATGGAGGGTGGATGGGGGTAGTTGGGCAAGTGGCGTCAACAGCACATGTCAACATGATAGCAGTTAACTGGAATACCGTAAAAGAACTTCAAGGAGATCTAAAGGGAATTGTATCATTACTCTAAGGATTGTCACTGAGCATGTGCAAAAGCAGCTAAGTCATCATGGTGCCAGATCTCAAAGGAATGAAGGCCAATTATGTTAGGCTGCAGCAGCATGTCCTCTTTTACTGTGCCTTGTAAATAGTTATGTTTAATGAAGTCTGTAAAACTTCAATCAAAAGAGCTGTCATCACATTCCTACATTACACACAGCTCACACAACGCGGTCTGCCATACAAAACTAATATATCCATTTACGACACCCTACATACAAACTCTCTCCTTAAGATCTTCTTCCCATTGATTCCTTCTCATCTTTTAAGACCTTCCTTAAGTAACCTATTTAAGTAAAAGTAAGATTTATCATCTGAGATAGTAGGAACTGCAGATGCTGGAGAATCCGATTTATCATCTCTTTTGTTTTGCCATTTACTTTTCTTTCTCCCTATGGGAGGCTTTTTTCTCTACAAAGATACTAAGAAATTGCTCATTTGTATGTACATAGACAATTCAGACAGTACATGCTTTCTAAAACCGTATACTTATTAGTTAAAGGTTGTATGTTCTGTAGAGAACAAACTCAGCAAGTAGCAAGATAGGTGGATATGAAACTTTGTCACGAAACTGCTTATACTGGTAGAAATATGGCACTCACTTTCCAGGATCTGGCATCTGACTGCAGACAGCTCGGAGTGAATGGAAGCTGTTCCTGATTGAGTGAATGTTGGCCATCCCCATAAACATCACTTCACAGTTTGGATAATATTCTGCAGTAAACAGAAAAGTCAGTAAATCAAGGTGCAGTATGCAGTAATTCAGTGGTACTGTCTAGGCTGCAGGGAACCTTTACCTTTTTCTACAGAAAAAAATGACTAGCCAAATCCTGAGCCAACAATTAATAGGTTATATGTATCAGGAAATCGCAGCTCACAAAGATACATACAAGTAAAAGAATTATTCAGCCCAACAAGTTCACTCATTCATGAAAGCCTATTATCCCCACCAGTGCAGCACCTAATGAGTGTTCAAGTGATTTGTTCACTCCACGGAGGTGCTCATCAATACGTTAACAAGTTGAACATGATATAAAGCCTGGATAACTAGTTTGCCACATTATAATACAATCTCCTGAGGAAGCTGGTATCCAGTTCTAATGTATTACAAGACAAGGAAAATAATCATTAATTCCTATCATAATTTTACAGATGAGAGCTGTATGACCAATCTTAATTTATCCAACCAAAATTATTCTAAAGACTCTCCAATGCAGCTTTAAATGGGTTATTAAATGATCACAAACAATTGGCTCCCAATATTGAACTGGAGAGACAATTCTCTAATCTGATCAGTACGTGCGTGACACCAGTGGTTCAATTATGGCCCTTCTTTTCGAACTCCATTCCCATCATTTCAAGTCAGTTTAGTGGACAAGGGGTGTGTTACAATATTACCTATGGATTTCAAGGCACTAAATATTATGATTGCGCCAAACAAACCAAAATCAAATATCTTAAAACATTAAAATGTCTTTTCACATTTCACTCATGCCCACAGTCCCCAAGACACATCTAAAATCAGAAGTCCAAAAAAATCCAAAGAGTAATGTACGCTAACATCTATCCTCTGAAAGATCCAGTCCCACTCATTCATGGCACTCAATTGTAAATAAGACATTCAAGTTAATACTTTGTCTTACGAAAAATGATTCAAACTAACACCAATAATAAATTAAAAGACATATTAAATTTATTTCAATTAAATTCATTTAATATGTGCTTACAAACATAACTCAGGATATAGATTTTCTGATCTTTTTTTTGGATCCTACGCTTCAAACAGCAATCCCAGGAGCCAGTGCTATCTAAAAAATATCTTATGGGGTCTTCGAACTTTCTGTATGGCTTCTGCATTGTTCATTAAGTAACATGTTTTGCTAATATATAGCAATAGAAAACACGCTTTGAGGCCCCCTCTAGTGGATCACCTAGTCTCAAGAAGGAAAATGCCATGAGCACGTAAATACTTGCAGGGCTGGTTTAATTTTGAAAGCCACATTCAATGGTAGCTTCATTACTGAAAGTAACTTTTAAATGGTTGAAAATTAAGCAAGCTTCATCTACACGGCGCTTCCAGGAAGATGGAGACAGTAAGGATTGTGGATGCTGGAAGCTAGAATCAATAAATGTGGAGCTGGAAAATCAACATTTCAGGCTAAAATCTTTCGCCATTACTTCCAGAAGATGGCTGCCAATTTTCTCTATCGCTAACTGCAGTTTGCACTTGGAAGTCTGATCTACTAACCTCAGAAGAACCCACTGTTGTGTTCCTCCTTGCAGATGGATGAACAAGTTGAAAGGAACAGTCCCTACGGAATGAGACACGCATACGCCAAGCTTCCCCTAGGTTTCCTCTTCTGGATAGTTACGTCTTGACTGTGCTTGCTCCGGCCTTCACCCTTATAGTCTATGTAGGCAAACAAAAACTCTCCTACCACATTCTGCTTAAAGCTTGTTCAGTATAAATCAATGGAGCAAAGGATTTGAAGTATCTCTCAGGATCAGGAGGACAAGCTGTGTTCGCATGTAATGCATACCTTCACACTCACAACCTCCACCCTTCGCTCGGTTGGCTACAGCGGCAGTGTATGATCTTGCATCCAAAATAAGCAATTTCTGTGGTGCCCCTCCACCCTCCGCCACAGACCCAGAAGACATGGATGAATCTAGAAGAGATTGTTACATTTTAATTTCTAACTTCATTCCAGTGATCAGCTTGATTCTTAGTAGCCAGTAACATCAGCTATCATTTCCAACTGTAACCCATAACACATGAATAATTCCACCATTGAAAAACAAACCGACATTTGCGAGGAGAATTATGGCAGGCCTGTATGCTCAGAAGCAGCAGCATGTACTATTCACAAGATGCGCTGTAGAAATTCGTCAACGATCCTTAGACAGCACTTTACAAATTCATGACCAATTCCATCTAGAAGGACAACGGCAGCAGCTACATGGGAACACCATCACCTACAAGTTGCCCTTCAAGTCTCTCAACTTCCTGACTTGGAGATATATCACTATTCCTTCACATTACCGGGGCAAAATCCTGGAACTTCCTCCCTAAAGGCATTGTGAGTCTACCTACAGAACATGGACTGCAGCGGTTCAGGAAGGCAGCTCATCACCACCTTCTCAAGGGCAGCTAAGGTCAGGCAATAAATACTAGCCAGCAACATATACACCCCACAAGTGAATTTAAAAAAAGACAGACTTGCTGCTATGACTCTCTACCCCAAATTCTGACAAAAAAGTCATTTTAAAAATTTGTTGAAGATTACACTTCCCTTTCCTCCATCTACAGTGGTGCATCAGAGGTACTCCACACCTGAAGTGACAGAGCTCAGACTGACACACTGGTTTTCCAAGGTCAAGTAAGAAAGTAATTTCAGTCACAACTAACTGATCAGCAGCAATGTTTAGTAGTAAGTATTTTGGGAATCAACACCATTTGGATTCTCAACTGAGATCTTAATTGACTAAAGTACTCACTCCACACTGAGCAGCGGAGACAAACGTTGATCTCATGGAGTAGCCTAAGAACTTTACCAGAGCAGGCTGGGGTCCAAGAATAGTAATTCCAAGACTGAAATTTCTAGCAATTTTCAATATGGATTGTAGACTTGACAGAACTGGTCTATGACCCCATTTGTTGCTTTTTCAGAAATGCACTGAAACTGACAGAACATAGGAAATTGGAACAGGAGGAGGAGGCCATTCATTCAGTGTCAAATCTGCTCTGCCAGTAAACTAGATCTTGGCTGATCTTCCACCTTAACATCATTTCCCGCATTATTCCCTTTCCTTTCACATCTTTAATATCTGGAAATATGTCAAATTCTGCCTTCGATATACTCAATGACCGAGGCTCCACAGCCCTTTGGGGTAGATAATTTCAAGGTCTCACCCTGAGTGAGGGAATTCCTGCTCATCTCAGATTTAAATGGCCTATCGCCTGTTCTGAAAACATGAACTCTGGTTCCAAACCGTCCTGTAGTTGGAGGAAACAGCCTGGTTGCATCTACCCTGTCAATCCCTGTAACAACGGAAGTTCCACCCACTGGTGCTTGTCACCTTTTTTTTTAAATGAAGGATCAAACTAACTCCACTTGTTTCCTGAATCCTTGTTGGCAACAGACTATCCACCAGACATAGGTGGCAGCAGGAAGTTGAGAAGAATCTTGGAAGTGTAGCTTCACAATAATACAGCAACTTTTCAGATCTGACAAATGTGATGGCAGCTGATTGCTCCAGCTACCACTTTCTTCAAGCAACAAAATATCTGTTATCTTCAATGATGCAGCTGGGATATATTCTACATTGTGGAAGACCATGGGTATGAAACAGTATTCCATCAGTAAATGGCACTGCTTTCTGGTTCATCAAACCTCCAAAACATCTACTTTATTTCCTTTCTTTCCATTTAAATTCCATTTAAGACTTCCTATTCCTCTGCAGGTGAAAAATGCGAATACTTTGTAGGTCTCACCGCTCGTGCAACTGCTCATTAAATTTTGATTTCATCATCTTATGGAACCAAAATTTTGAATAATTGTGGACTTAAAAGCCAGTGCTGCATGCTCAATTATTCATATTGCATCTGCAGTCTTAAGTATGTGAAAAAAATCCTACTTTCTAGCTGTGTAATGCCATCTATAGGGAAAGTATCAACAATGCTGCGAAGAATAAGCTTCGCTGTGATGTCTCTACATATCGCCTAGGTTAATCGACATTAAATGACCACTTGAAGAGGTGCTGGAAGGTAGCTGTGATTTATTCTAGCATGAATTAGTACCCTTAGGAGAGGAGATACAAAGCGATTTGGGCCATAAATTGCTCAAGTTTCTCAATTAGGCATAAGATAGGTCTCTGGTCTGCAATCTCACCAAAGTCAGTGTCGGACAAACAAGTTCCCTCATTTCTGTTCTTTCCATTGAGTTTCCCTCGGTCTAAAATGCAGGCTTTAGCAATGGATGTCACCAAATATTCATCGTCCGCGTTTCTCCAGCCCCACCAACTGATTTCGGGCTGACTGCAACGTGATATCACAGCACCATTCCGCAGGTGCCTGGAGAAAAATTTAACATTGTTAGTATGTGGAAACATTGCAAACAAGTCCACCAGAAAGATGTCAAATATTTCAGAACATTTTCCATTCACAACATTCAAAATTGTGGCCTTCAATAAAAGTCTCACACAAATGAAATTATGCTGAAAACTCCCTGGACACCTCAAGCAGAAAGAAAGACATGATATTGCACTTCCATGACTGGCAATAGCAGCACTTCTTCTGTAGTTGAATGCAAACAAAAACTTAACTTTAAAATCCAGAATTTTGGAAACTGTTAATTGACTATGACTAACAGTATTTCTGCTTCTACGTCCTAGTATGGAGCCTCACCAACAAACTGTATATTGAATAACTGTGCACATGCAATTTTCTGTTTTTATTGAAGTGGTTGAAAAATCACGGGCGGAAAACTGAAAATGTAGCCATGAGTACTTGTATTTCAAAATTATCCAAATATTTGAAGATATCCACCATAGCCTTTTGCTCCTTTACTCCCTTGTTAAAAATTCTCTCTCACTCATGGAATCACTTGTTGTAGTGTTGCTGCACAAATACTAGCTAGCTTCTGGTACTGTGCTTAAGTGGTCATGACATAAAAACATATGAATTAAGAACAGAAGTAGGCAATTTGACACTTTCAGCCTATTCGGACATTCAGAAAGATCATGGCTGTTCCCATTTATCTTTGATAAGCTTTGATTCCTTACCGGATGAAAAATCTATCTGGACCTGCCTTAAAGATACTCAAACTTACGTCCACTGCCTTGAGGCTGAGAATTCCAAAGCTGGACAACCCTCAGAAAAAACAAATTCTCATCTGTCCTAAAAGAGCGACCCCCAACTTTAAAACAGTGTCCCCTATTCTGTCCTGTGCTAGGCTGTGGGAATATCTGCTATGGGCTGGAGAAGAGCTTGCAGCAGGAAGGGCAGGATCCAGTGGTCATGGCCATTCTTAATGAATGAACACATATCTGGTAACAAGCAATCAAATTCATGAAAAGGGAAATTATTTAAGGTATACTTGTTTCAGCAATAAGTTGCAATACAAACAACCAAAGCAACTGTTTTGTCTCTGGCTTGCATCACTGAAATTAAGTAATGTCAGTTTATCTTTCTTTTACAGTCTTTTGGAACTAGGATTCCCTTCAACTGCCAAAAACAATTTCTCTCTACATGGTTTACACAATACATACAGGTTACTCAACCACAGGACTTCATCGATAACAATTTTTTCATCTAGTATGATTTTCAATAGGTCACTGGGCAGGGCTCAGCTGTACAAACATCGGTTATTTTGCTCCACGCTAGGTCAGCAAGACTAAAGTCATGCATGGTGTAACAGTGTAGAGATTAGAATGTAGACCTGGTATCCTTGAAGCTGTTAAACTCAATACTAAATTAAGCAATGCTCTTACTACAAGGATAGAGATGGATTAGGATTAGAGTTTAAGATGCACTGAACGGGCTGCCGGCAGTGAGGTGTTGTTCATGCTCCATATTTTCCATACTTTCTGGTTCCTGCTCTTGGAATATATTTCAAAAACAATAGATATCATCACTTTTTCCCAAACACAACAGGTAAAATTGAAAGAATACTGATAGCATAGCACTGTGTAGTGCTGAAGTTTATTTCCGATATTGACATGTCTTTAAACATAAACGGTGGGCATTTTATAAGCAGTTAAGGAAATTCTACCAGGTCTAGTATAATACAGTGTGGAGCTGGAGGAACACAGCAGGCCAGGCAGCATCAGAAGAGTAGGAAAGTTGACATTTCGGGTCGGGACCCTTTTTCAGAAATGCTACCAGGTCGAAGGCAGGTTGTTGCAAAAGGTGTTCCTACTGTGTCTTCCTCATGATTTTTTTCACAATTCTGTTAGCCTTAGATTAAAATACTGACCTCTTTACTTATAAATTACTAATTTAATTTATGGACCTTGTTATTTGAACCATCATAGAAAGGTTGCAATTCAGCAAGGACAGTAAAACAGACTCCTTTCCAGGAAGTCATCTTGACAGGTAGAGAAAACACTGGACTGAATCTTACGCTTTTTTGAACAAGTGTCAATTTCATCAAGGATTTGTCACATAGCAAGTTCTCTCATCCAGTCGTGCTAAAATCACCTCTTTAATTTCCTACCATGACTCTATGGCATCTTTCATGTCCTATTCCCCCTTCAACTTAATGTGAGCAGTTCCCAAAACAAGTCACCATTTAGCTAATATCAGAGGATTTACTACCATCCCTTGTGCCCACATCATCTTTAAAAGCCTGTTGTGTACCCAGGCAAACACTGTCAGTCTTGAGCTGTCTTGCATTGTTCATGACATCGCCCAGGACATTGCAAAAAGGGGGAAATCATGGTCCTGCTTTGTGAGCAGGGCCCTGGATGGGGTGGTGCCAAAGGAGAACTTGCTGCTCCCCAGGACCAGCAGTAGAGGCATCAACACCAGACTAAACCAGCCTAGTCTGAAGTTGGCATCTGAATTATAGCAGTCTCAGTCATCTGGAGGAATGCACAACACTGCAAAAACATCAATGTCCTTCTCCATTCCTCCTGTATAGATGCCACAATCTTCTGTCCAATACCTCATTCTATCTCTGCTACATACCCACCTCCACCAAGGTTTATTTTCTATCACCTTCACTATTGCCCATGGGGTGCTCCCCACTCGCTCTCAATCACCCCAATCTGACACCATTAACCCTGCATGCTTTTTGCACTGCCTATTCGCTCATCCAGGACACTTCCCCACTTGTACCACTCACTTTCATATTCCTTAATACCAGCTCCTCTTCATTCCAGAAGGAAACAGCCCACAATAGGGCATAAATAGCCAAGTCAGATGGTGTGCTGTCTGCCATTCAGTTATCATTCCTTATGAGTATCTTCTCTTGACTGAATGCCCCCAGCAGGCCTGGTCTAGTATTACAAGCTGTTCTTAACTTACCATGCCAGGATTCCTGAATATCCCCCTTGACTTAACCGAGGCCTAAAGAGAAACATGATCAAAGCTTCTTGACTTTGTCAATGTGCTAAATGACAAAGCAAGACAGTAGTAATATGATTTGTTTTTTTCTGAAGAAGGGTCTAGGCCCGAAACATCAGGCTTCCTGCTCCTCTGATGCTGCTTGGCCTGATGTGTTCATCCAGCTCTACACCTTGTTATCTCAGTAGTAATACGAACCTGCTACCTGGGGCTGAGACGGCAAAGCACAAAAAGACAACACAAGTATCTAAGTAAGCTCAGCAAACTCTTCCTTTCACTCAATAAGACTTTGTAAATGGCTACTTAATCAATTCTGGTGAACTATCACACTATATTTTATTTGAAGTGGCATGTTAAAAATACATTAAAATCTTTGTTGCAGTTAGGGTTAAAAAGAGGGGAGACAGTTCACTTTTCTTCACCTAGTCATAATAAGGCACCTATCAGACTGTTTGATTCTCAACTAGCCAGCTACTCAGTTCAAGGACAAATAGGGACAGGCAATAAATGGTCTGCTCACCAGGATACTCACATTCCAAGCAAGAATAAAATTTTAAAATATCAATTCTCCTTACAAAGTATGACCCGTGTTACTGAATCCCATTACACATTTTCCTTGTGTTAGATCATGTTATGTAAGGAAAAATGGACTTAAAATTAAATCAACTGTTGATATTTCGATTGAACAAGTATATTTACATTGAGGTAATTAAGTTTAAAAACTATAATAATTGGACAGAATAATACAGCAAACTTTGCAGTATTTGAGGTATATAATTTTGCCAGTTAATCAAGCGTGCCAGTTCATAAGGTGCTGGTGAAATTGTAGTTTGTTGTAACAGTATTCCTAAGTCAGATGTTTGTAAATTGGGGACCCCATGTACTCTTCTTTAAGAAAAAGAGATGCTAAGGGAGAAATGTTACCAGAATACTTTGAGAACTCATTACTCTTCACAGATAGATTAAACATTTGGCTGCTTTCTGGAGCTTAAATGTATTCTAGAACCATGAATTTCTGAACAAACTTAAATTTTATTAGTGACTTGCAAGTTCCACAAGGAATACAGTTGTCGGTTTTTTATTCAATTACCTTTTGAGACTGTCAATAAATGGAATTCATTAACATGGTGCATTGAATTTGTAGAAAACTAATAAATCCATCTAATTTGGTCATTTTGGAATATAAATGCCTCCAAACAGAGCTTCTTACAGGTAATATAGAGGTCATCATTAAGATTTAAGAAGGTCACCTGTAAACGACTACAGGAATCCTTTTCCAAGATCTGAAGGTCCCTACACTTTCCAATTCTTTATCCGTGATCCACACTGGAACTAGCAGTTTTTGGGGGTAACTAGCACACAACCTGCAAATTAAATATAACAGTGTTAGAAAAGTGAGTTTGTTTCAACACTGTCTTATGCTTGAAATATAGACAATAAATGATCAATATGAAGACACAAAACAACTTTGAATAGAGTATCAACACTTGTTAAACCCCTGCAATTTAGTCCACAACGTTGCAACTGATACTGTGAACATTGTGTCTATGCAATTCATGCACCATAATTCCAGAGTAAATACATACATTATGTTACATACATTACATTTTTAGCACCCTATACATATAGTACACAACACATACTTTGGAGCTTCAGTTCCCCTGTGTATCTGTCATATCTGGACACATTAGTTCTAATTTTCCATGTATTCATTGAACCACACAAACTTTACTTACACTATACTAGAATCCCAATGTGAAATGGTTCCAGGTGATGATGCACAAAGTTATCGGACGCATGAGCTCATCCAGGGCTCCAAGTATAAAGATTATACAATAGAAGCAGCGGCTCCCAGTATACATATCATATGGACTGAGGTTTTGGAACTTGTACATACATTATACTACTCATGACACACCTCCTGTGTACATTATATTAAAAGATACCATAATATTTCACAAAACCATTATGTGCCTCACAACAAAAGATTCAGGTTCCTTGCATGTGTATATTCACACTGTGGCAAGCTATCACATGCATGGATATTATAATGTAGACATCTGAAGATTCTAGACCTTCTTCTGAATCTGCGCATTTACATTTATTATGAAGCTGTGTTATTTGAAGTATTAATTTATACCATCTGTTAGACATACATATGGAATCTTTTAAAATAGCACTTCTCAAACAAGGATAAATGTTGCATTTTACAAAGGAAATAGGCAATAAAAGTACACTTAAGAGGGAAATCAGGAGGACAAAAATGGAACATGAGATAGGTTTGGCAAATAGGGTTAATGAGAATGCAAAGGGATTCTACAAATACATTAACTACAAAAAGATAACTAGGGAGAGAATAGGGCCCCTTAAAGATCAGCAAGACCACCAACGTGTGGAACCGCAGAAGATAGGGGAGATACTAAATGGGTATTTTACAGTGTTTACTGTGGAGGAGGTAACTTGGGTAAATAAATAGCAACGTCTTGAAAAAAGCCATATTACAGAGGTGGCAGTGCTGGGGAGTCTTAAAACGCACTAAGATGGATAAATCCCTAGGACCTGATCAAGTGTGCCCTAGAACTCTGTGGAAAGCTATGAAGTGATTGCTGGGCCCCTTGTTGAAATATTTGCATCATTGATAGCCACAGGTGAGGTGCCAGAAGACTGGAGGTTGGCTAAGGTGCTGCTACTATTTAAGAAAGGTGGTAAGGGAAAGCCAGGGAATGAGAGACTAGTTAGCTTGACATTGGTGTGGGCAAGTTGTTGGAGGGAGTCCTGACGGACAGGATTTACATGTATTTGGAAAGGCAAGGACTGATTAAGGATAGTCAACATGGCTTTGTACATGGGAACTCATGTCTCACTAACTTGATTTGAGTTTTTTGAAGTAGTAACGAAGAGGATTGATGAACGCAGAGCGGCGGACGTGATCTATATGGACTTCAGTAAGGCGCTCAACAAGGTTCCTCATGGTAGACTGATGAGCAAAGTTAGATCACATGGAATACGGGCAGAACTAGGCATTTTGATACAGAACTGGCTCTAAGGTAGAAGACAGAGGGTGGTGGTCGAGGGTTGCTTTTCAGACCGGAAGCCTGTGACCAGCAGTGCACCACAAGGATCGGGGCTGGGTCCACTGCTTGGTGTCATTTATATGATGATTTGGAAGTGAACACAGGAGATATAGTTAGTAAGTTTGCAGATGACACCAAAATTGGAGGTGTAGTGGACAGCGAAGAAGATTACCTCAGAGTACATAGGAACCTTGATCAGATGAGTCAGTGGGCCAAGGAGTGGCAGATGGAGTTTAATTCAAATAAATATGACGTGTTGCATTTTGGAAAGGCAACTCAGGGCAGGACTTGCACACTTAATGGTAAGGTCCTGGACAGTGTTGCTGAACAAAGAAACCTTGGAGTGCAAGTTCATAGTTCCTTGAAAGTAGAGTTGCAGGTAGACAGGATAGTGAAGGCAGCGTTTGGTATGCTTACCTTTATTGGTCCATGCAACTAGTAGAGGAGTTGGGAGGTCACGTTGCACCTGTACAGACATTGGTTAGGCCTCTTTTGGAATACTGTGCGCAATTCTGGTCTCCCTGCTTTGGAAGGGTGTAGTGAAACTTGAATGAATTCAGAAAAGATTTGCAAGGATGTGGCCATGGTCGGCGGGTTTGAGCTTATAGGGAGGGCTGAATAGGCTGGGGCTATTTTCCCTGGGGCATCGGAGGCTGACGGATGACCTTGTAAAAGTTTAAAAAATCATGAAGGGCTTAGATAGGGTGAATAGCCAAGGTCTTTTCTCCAGGGTAGGGGAGTCCAAAACTAGTAGGCATAGGTTTAAGATGAGAGGGGAATGATTTAAAAGGGACCTAAGGGGAAATTTTTTCGCGCAGAGGGTGGTGCGTGTACGGAATGAGCTGCCAGAGGAAGTGGTGGAGGCTGGTACAATTACAACATTTAAAAAGCATCTGGATGGGCATATGATTAGCAAAGGCCAAATGCTGGCAAATGCGACTAGATTAACTTGGGATATCTGGTCAGTGTGACAATTTAGATCAAAGGGTCTGATTCCATGCTGTACAGCTCTATGACTCTAACACAAGCTACTTGACTGGAGTTACTAAGTTTTTGGAGTAGATTTGTAGCTCAGGTTGTGGGTGTTGAGGTTGGTTGGCTCGCCAAGCTGGTTTGTTGTTCCGCAGACGTTTCGTTACCGTGCTTGGTAACATCCTCAGTGCAGCATCGGACAAACAGGAAGGAAACTAACAAGAGTACATGAACACCAACTGGCTACAAAAAGACACGACCAATACTCATTCATCTCAATCCACATGGACAAGGAGAACGATGACTCCGACTAGGACAACACCAAGATCCTGGGACAGGCTAGGCAGAGACAAGCACGAGAATTCCTGGAAGCATGGCACTCCACGAAGCAGGCTATTAATAAACACAGTGAACTCGACCCCATATACATTCCACTACAGAGGAAACCTGGAAGTGAGGCGATCCATCGCAACGGACGCCAGAGTTTAAAAGCCAGGCGGGAAAACACACCAATGCTTCATCAGAGGCTGCACTGAGGATGTTACCAAGCACGGTAACGAAATGTCTGCGGAACAACAAACCAGCTCGGCGAGCCAACCAACCTCAGGAGTTACTAAGTTTACAATACAGTCGGCTCTGCTGTAACCTGAGATTCCTCCACGCGAATTGGCTTTAAGGCGATTGAAGAATGTAAACTGCTACTTGTAGAACGTGAACTTTCCTTACATGTATTAGCTATAACATAATTCCAGCCTCATTAGTTTAAATGGCACGGCTATTGTGTGATCTTCTTATAATGCGAGATTGCACGAGAATGGAACTATCACGTTATAGCAGAACCAACTGCATTTTCACAGAAAGGTCACATCACTCAGTTTGTAGGTGTTTTGAGCACAGATAGACAGAATGCGTTACAGGGAAAAATAGCCACTGCTGCCCTCATTCCCTGATTTTGAAAGCTGAAGTTCCACTGTATCCCACAACTAAGAGATCCGATTTAAGCTCTGCAGTTCTGACACATCCAGTTGCAAATGATGGGGAGCAACTAAACAACTAACAGATGGTGGAGGCTTGACAAGTATCTCCAACCTCAATAATGAAGGAACCCAGTGCATCAATGCAAAATATGGCTGAAACATTTCATCCATCCTTCGGCAGAAGTGCCGAGTGGCTGACCCATCTTACCATCCTCTTAAGGACTGCCATATCACAGGTGCCAGTCTTCAACTTATTTATTCCACATTGAGAAACAGCTGAAGCCACTGGATACTGCAAAGGGTATAGGTCTAACAACATACTGAAGTCTTGCACTCCAGAATTAGCTGTATTCCTCGCCAAGCTGTTCCAGCACAGCAACAAAACTGTCATCTACTCTGAGGTCCGTTGCGATGGATCGCCTCACTTCCAGGTGTCCTCCGTAGTGGAATGTATATGGGGTCGAGTTCAATGTGTTTATTAATAGCCTGCTTCGTGGAGTGCCATGCTTCCAGGAATTCTCGTGCTTGTCTCTGCCTAGCCTGTCCCAGGATCTTGGTGTTGTCTCAGTCGGAGTCATGGTTCTCCTGGTCCATGTGGAAGCTTGCCCAGGCATGCCCTATACACAAAAGGATGGATAAATCTACCCAGTCAATACAGTCCTATCAATCATCTCTTGATTGTCAGTAAAGTGATGGAGCACTGCTTGCAAATGAGTAACCCACTCACTGATGTTCGGTTTGGGTTCTGCCAGGACCACCTGGCTCCTGACCTCAATTACAGGCTTTGTCCAAACATGGGCAAAAGAGCTGAACTCCACATGTGAGATAACAGTAATTGCCTTTGATATTAAAGCAACATTTGGCACAGTGTGATTTCAAGGAGCCCTAGCAAAACAACAACGGCAATCAGGGGACAACTCTCCACTGCTTGGAATCATACCAACACAAAGAAGATGGTTGTTATGAGGTCAGTCATCTCCGCTCCAGAACATCTCTGCAGAAGTTCCTTCAGGTAACATCCTAGGTTCAATGATGTTCAGCTGCTACATTAATGACGTTCCCTCTTTCAAAACATCAATGGAAATCTTCACTGATGATTACACAACGTTAGTACCATTCATGACTCCTCAGATACTGAAGCAGTCCATTCCATATGCAAAAAGAACCTGGACAACCAGTCCCACCACCTGGACAAGTGACAAGTAATATTTCTGTCTACAAGGCAACTACAAGGCAAAGACCATCTACAAAACATAGAAAAGCTAACCATCGCCCCCTGATGTCCAATGGAACTACCATTGCTGAATTCCCCACCATCAACATCCTGGTTACCATTGATCA